AAAGTGAAAACATGCATGAGATGGAGTGATTTTATCACACAATCATGATCTAACGCTCGAGGGGCTCCTAAGGGTCTAGCATTGGACTAGCCCTTTTACTAATACTCTCTCACAAGCATTGGACTTGTGAGGGCTCGAGGGGAAAACCATGACTAGCATTGGACTAGCCACGGTAACGTGCATTCATCCACACAATCAGATACAATATTAAAACAAATAGACATGCAAAACACATAGTTTCACATAGCACGTAACACATAAGCATGCTTGTCTAGATGCAGAATCCTAGGGAAACGATTAAACACATAGGCATATAGGCACACACAAGCACATAGCACACAAGCCCTATCTATTACAAAAGGGGATGCCTACTACAGTCTAAAGGGGAGATAAAATAAATAAATAATTAAAATAAATAAATCTTTAACTATTACAAATTTGGCATCCAAGTGCCTTTCAAATGAGCAAAATTGAACTACAATAAATATTCAAAACTAAAGCCAATAAGTAAGTAAATGATAAAGATAAAACACTTTCAACAGGCATGCAATTAAACACATAAAGTCATATAGGGCATGTAGGATCCAATAAAGTGAGAAATAAGGGATAAAACGTACCTCCCTTGAGGTGGGGCCCTAATTGAATGAAATCACTTATTTACCCTCCAAAATAAAAGAAAAGGTCAAGGCATCTCAAATAATCACGTTTATACGAAATTGAATCATTAAATGCATTCAAATGCCTAAACAGTCCATATTCACAAGATTAGGATCCAATTGAAAGGAAAAAGAAAGTTCAAGGGGGGCAATTTGATTGATTTTTTAATTATTTGGGCCATAGTATAACAAAAAGGAACTTGGGGGGTTAAAGTGTAATTTTTAGAATTACTTTCCATGCATGCTACGAAGAAACAAATTCTCATCTCTGGTTTCCCTTTCTCTGCAGCTTACTGTGTTTCATTACCAACCCAAACATTACCAACAAACATCGACTTTTGAATCAAACGATCACAAGACACTCCCCCAATCATCAACCAAGCCAAATATTACATTTGTGTTGCAAGACCGAATGAGAAAAATCTGGTTTAGTGATTGCTAGAAAAACAAAGTGCAGCAGTAGTTTTCGTAACAGCAAAACAAGAAAATGCAGCAACAATCTTTAACTCTTGTTTGAAATGCCAAAAACAAAACGTTCAAGAAATCATGCTTAAGCTCAGACCCTGAAACAAACAAGATGCCAAACATGCTATGAATCAAACACTCATCAGAGAAAACGCATGCCAAGCTGAAGTTTTCCTTCCCACAACACTTTGTCTTCGACTTCAGCATATAGGAAACAACCATGAATAGCTTGCTGAAGCCTCCAACTTCAACTCTTAAAGACATCAAATTCCAAATCAGAAAATGAAAACCAAATGCGTGGTTAATATTCGGGTCCCTCCCAATTCAAAATGTATTCGCAAGGAAATAAACTTCTGCACTGATTTGCTTTTTTTTTTAACTTTGCAGGTGACCTGATAGCATGTGATAATCTTAACCAGAAAAACAATCTCAAATATTTAACAAGCTTCCTAAACTCATCACTGAAATATAACATTGAATGCACAAACGAAGGAAAAAAATCTGAGCAAAGGAGGAATTCATCAGACCCCAGATTCATTCATTAGTTTCAAAACTAATGACTTTCCAAACACAGCTTTAACACCAGATGTTGTTCATGGCATTTCACTCAAGCATAGACAACAAAAAACAAGCAAGTCAAACGAGTCATAGCTTCAGCAAAACGAATACGTGAAAATGACAGCCACTACAACCCAAAGTAAAACACATGAATTGGTCAAACGTTGCTGCAACAGATTTGAGCAAGCCGAGAGTTGCAAACCTGTTGCATTAGAAGCTCAATCTATTTCTAAGAATCCAGAGCTACCCAACTACGATAAAGGATCTCACGAACAGGGGCATAAGGCCATATTCATCAGAAATCAGCAATAACATCATGTTCATCAGAAATCAGCAACAACAAATCACAACCAAGAATAAACGAACTAGAAAGCTGCAGATCCTTACACAAATATCACCAGATCTTCACAAAATGGTATGAAAATGACAGGAAGAAAGGCTGGAGTTACCTACAAATGTCGGTGAAATAAAGCAAACGTGAAATATGTCCGAAAAATGCATGCAAATTCCAGAAATGAGATTGAGAATGCCGGCGCCGCAGAACTTCAGCGCTGATGAAGTCGTCACCTTGGCTCCTGATTTGGCTATCTTCCTATGGTTTTCCCTTCAAAATTTCTGAATGAAAAACACTCCCATCACATTGTAGATGTTCCAGATTACCCTAAATCTCCAATAAGGAGCCAAATCCATAGAAAAAATTGCCTCCAAAGACAACAGAAAATCAGCCTGGATAGCAGATTTTCTGGAAAATTTTCTCTTCCCGCCGCCGCTCTTTCCCCTCGTTTTTCTCAGTTTTCTCCTCTAACTCTTCCCAGATCTAACTCTCTCCCTCTCTTATTTTGGTTTTCTTCCCTATCCCAGAAAGCTCTCTAGTTTCCCCGGGCTCCTTTCTTCTTCGTGTTCCCTTTTCGCAAACCTCAGCCGAAGCCTCCCTCTTTACTTCGGTCCTCCTGTTTTTCCCTCAACCAAAGACGAAAGCCCTCTGTTCTTTTCCTTCCCTTTTTCGTTTCCTATGTAGCTCCTCCGAAAGCTTCTCCCTCAGTTTTTTCTTTTTCCTTCTGCTTTTTCTTCCTCCTTCAGTCCAACGCTTTTTCTTTGTTTTCGTTCCTTTTCCCCGCAGCTTCTCTCTTTTCACCGTTTTCCCTCCTTCCGGGTCTCTAACTCAGCCGCCCTACTGTTTTTCTTTCTGTCAACCTCAGCCCTCCTCCTTTCTAGTTTCTCTCAGCCGTCCTTAGATGCTCCCTTAGTTCTCTGCTGTTATCTTTCTTTTCCCGTCGTTCTCCTTTTTGCCCCCCTTTTTCTCAGCCGCCCCTTCTTCCTTTTATAACAAACAAAACACTAAACCCTCCTCTAAAGGGTTCTGATGGAAGCCAAGTCATTAGCCTTGTAGATCATCCGATGGTGAACAAAAACAAGGAGTTGTTGTGCCTGCTTGAAATGTTATATGAAGAAATAGGCGCGGATCCTGTGTAGCTCGGGTGCATGAGCCTGTTTCCTTTTTTTTTCGGCATTTTCATTTTTTCATTTTTCTCTTTTTCTTTTGTTTTTCTGAAATTTAATATGAAGACAAAATAAACCAGAACAAAATAAAATAAAATAAAAATTAAAACCCTAGAATTGAAACAAATAAACCCATTAAATTAATTAAACAAATAAAATTAAAAGATCAAAAATTTGGTGTCTACACCAAAATTTCAGTTTCAGTCGCTTTGCTATTCACGTCTTCATATTCTGGTTCATCTTCAGCAGCAACACTATAAAAATCCTCACTTTTTTGTTCAACATCAGCACATTTTCCTTGCTTGCCTGCAGTTTTTGGTGCTATTTCTGGCCCATTACTACTGTCTAAATCTTTAGAAAACAGATTCGGTACTCTCGGTGTCCAGTTGCTACTGCACCCTTTTGTAGTGTCTAAATTTACTGGATGAATGTCAATATTTTCTCTACCATCTTTTTCCACTTCATCAGGGTCTATACCTTTTTCTATGATTATAACATCACTGTCTCTATCCCTTTCGGCTTCATCTCCCTTAGCTTGACTTAAGGGTGCTACAGCCTGTGGATAACCTTGTGAGAAAACTCTAAGAAACACTTCTGCCACCCTATGTGGTGGTAATATGTTCACCATCATCTCACAATCCCTATCACACATACAAAAGACCAAGCCTGTATCCAATGTCATCCCTGGTAGCAGATAATACCACCCAAAACCATCTTCTACATCATACCCAAGTCTCTCTTCACATTTGTCTAGAGCTACTAATGACCACATTTTTGGGTTGCATCTACCTATAAAATCAACCATTCCCCCTATATACTGCTTGTTAGGAGAGTCTGTGAAGGTCCCTTGATGGTGTATCTTTAAGGAGAAAGGTTCAGGCCAAATTCCACTATCACCATTTCCTGGTTCAAAGAAAAATTTTTTTAATTCAATAATTAATTTTTTGACACCTTTTACAGTGAATCGGGGACCACAATGTCTTTAATACAAGGAACATTAGGGTTTGGACAAGATAAACATTGACTTAAAAAAGACCCCAAATCATTTTCAAGCCCATACATTCGACATTAAACAATTTTGTCTACCATAATTTATCACTAACATATAACATATAGAGGTCAATCTGGCCCTTTTTACATTCCACAATATCACTACTAAACCTAACCGACAACAATCAAATAACCCAACTACTATATACGCTATTATCCAACAAGCAAACAATGACCGTAATATCATTTCTCTTACTGGGGGCGGCCTTTCTCTTCTTGTTCTTCAATGGCAACCTCATTTCTCCATCAAACCCTCTTCAATGGCGATCTTGAATTTTCCATGTTTACAATAAATTTCATCTCTGACTCACGGTCACTATCATTTCAAGGGTATAGACTAGTAGAAATTTGATAATGTATTGTTCACACCTTTTTTCTCTCTCTCTCTCTGTGTTCAAATCCAAGGTGAAGACGGCAGAAACAAAAACAAAGCTGTTTCGACTTATTTTTCTTTTGCCCTTATACCTAACGGGTGGCTATTTTAGTTTTCATGACTTATCTAATCTCACTAACGGCGCTTGTTTTGCACGCTCGAAGAACCCTGATGATTCTGTGGAGTCCGTCAACGATTTTACTTAATTGGGACGGATTCAGTAGTTTGGGGACTTAAGTGTCTCATTTACAAGTTTAGGGATTAAAGTGAAAAATAGAGTATAGTTTAGGGGGTCAAAAGGAAATTTACCCGGTTTAATTTGGTATCAAAGACAGAGAAAGAGGATCCAAGGCATTTTAAAAAACGCGGGAAAGCCAAGCCAAGCTGCAAATTCCCGCCATTTCATGTTACTATTTCCGCCCCCAACTAAGCAAAACACCAAAAACAAATACAAAGTCCACGCCTGCTACCGCCGCCGCCGCAGCAGCCACCGGTTTCCTCCTGAAATAGAGCTCCCATGGCTGAAACTCCAAAGAAAAGATCCAAACAAACCCCTGAGCACCAACAGCATGATCTATCTTCCTCAAATGCCATTACAATCCCTGCAACCCCAGTAGCCCTAGACCCCACCCCTGTCCGCCGATCTTCCCGCCTTTACACCAACCCAACAGCGGCCACTGCTCCACCTCCTCCACCACCACGTTTCACCCGCCGTAAATCCCTCAATTTCACAACCACCACCCCCACCCCCACCCCCACCCCCAAAACCCCCAAGAAACCAGCTCCCCAAAGTCAGGAAGATGCTGCTAAGCAGATTTCGCCTATATCCCCCGATCGATATGAAACTAGGAGAAAAAGAAAATTAGATGAAGAAAAGAATGCGGGTCTTGCGAAAAATAAGGATTTGAAAGGGGGGAAGAAAAGGGTTTATTATAGAAAAGTGGTTTATGATGGGGGTGAGTTTTCTATAGGGGATGATGTCTATGTGAAGAGGAGAGACAATGCTGAATCGGATAATGAGGATCCTGAAGTGGAGGAGTGTGTGATGTGCTTTAAGGCTGGGAGGGCGGTGATGATTGAGTGTGATGAATGCTTGGGGGGATTTCATCTCAAATGTTTGAAACCACCTTTAAAGGAGGTTCCAGAGGGGGATTGGATTTGCAGGTTCTGCGAGGCAACAAAGTTGGGGAAAAATGTTGAATTGCCTGTGCCACCTGCAGGGAAGAAGAGGGCTAGGACTGCTAAGGAGAAGTTGCTTTCGAGTGATTTGTGGGCAGCCCATATTGAAAGGTTTGGAAAACACTTTTCCAACCAATGTTATGTTTTGATGATTATGCCTCAACTGGTTAATGATTCCTGATTACGTTTACACTGGTGATTTTTGAATATCGCATAGTATGTGGAAGGAAGTGGATGGTACTTATTGGTTTCGGTCTCGATGGTATATTATTCCTGAGGAGACTGCTGCTGGGAGACAGCCACACAATTTAAGGAGGGAGCTTTACAGGACTAACGAATTTGCTGATGTTGAGGTAGTAACTGCAATCCCCTAATTCACCGTATAGGTTCACTTTTTCCAGATGCAATTGCTTATGCTTTCATGATAGCGGACTGCATATTTATAGATGTTGGAGAAGAACAGGTTTATGCCATGATTTTTGCATAATGTTTTGCATAGTCCCAAAGTGTTGCTCAGTATTGTATGCTGTGTTTCTTTTTTGTAATGCTTGGATAACTGTATATTGCATTGTTAATTACCATTGTGTACTGAGACTGTTTCTTTTATGCACATAGAACCTGGTAAAGAGCAGTTTGTGGGCATTTCATGGAATGTAACAATTGTTTTATGAGATTAAACAAAGGCTGTTGAGAGTCTGGATTTCTCTAACTATGAAGGCATCATGTTTCTAAGGGGTTCTTTTAGGACACATGGAATTTTCTGTGTTGACATTGACTCTGTAGTACTTGTTTCTCTAGATGGAATCTATCATTAGGCATTGTTATGTTATGAACCCTAAAGATTTTAGCAAGGCTGCTGATGAAGGAGACGACATTTTCCTGTGTGAATATGAGTATGATGTATGTTGGCACAGTTTCAAACGCATTGCAGAAATCTCAAATAATGAAGAGGTAAGTGTTCCTAAACTCTGAACAACATAATTGGGGATGGTAATGCTTTTGCATTGGACTTGATTGAGACTGATATATGCTTTTATGATTAATAGGATGCTGAAGAGGATGAAAGTGATAAGGACTGGAATTCTTGCGAAATTACGGGCTCTGATTCTGAAGATGACACAGACTATAAAAAAGAGAAGATTAATGGCTCCCAGCGTGGACCCTCATTTGGTCCCTCATTTGGTCATTCATTGGCTGCTGTATGATCTTTCTTTTTTTTTTTTTTTTATAAATCTCCTAAGTACTTATTGGTAATGGCATCTAGTTGAAGCTGATAGGCTGTTTTAAACTCTCTCAGAACTTGCGGAAGGGGCAATTTTTTGGACTTCAAAAGATTGGGGCAAAGAAAATACCAGAACACACAAGATGCCACAAACAAACAGAAATTGGAAAAGCAAAAGCTATGCTTCTACTGGCATGCTTACCTAAGTCTCCACCTTGTAGGAATAAGTGAGGATGATTGCAGTATATTGTTTATTTCTTGTGATTCTTTGGTTATCAAAAGATGACAGGTCATTCGATGTAGAGAAATGGAAGAAATAACTGCATTTATCAAAGGAGCTGTATCTGATGGTCAATGCCTCGGAAAATGTCTTTATATTCATGGAGTTCCTGGAACTGGGAAGGTAAGATCTAGTAGCTATTATTGCAACAACAGTCATATTGTTTCTAGACAACACATTAAAGTTAGCCACATAATGGTATAAACTTATTCTTGTTGTTGCCAACCAACAGACAATGACTGTCCTTGCAGTAATGAGGACCCTAAAAATCGAAGTTGATTCTGGGAATATCAAGCCTTATTGCTTCGTTGAGATCAATGGTCTAAAGCTAGCCTCACCTGAAAATATCTACAGAGTAAGGTTTTTGGCGTTTAATTTATTTAGGACATTCATCTATTGCCTGATGACATTCTCTTCTTTAATTATCTTCAGGTAATCTATGAAGCTTTAACTGGACACAGAGTTAGTTGGAAAAAGGCTCTACACTTATTGAATGAGCGATTCTCAAATGGGACGAATTGGGAAGAAGAAAATAACAAGCCTTGCATCCTACTCATAGATGAACTTGATCTTTTAGTAACCAGAAATCAATCGGTAATTGGCAGGAGATTTAAGATTAGCTACGTTAACATCTGCTTTCTACAAAATTTAGAAAATTTTTTCACCCATAACCACCTTGTTTTTCCTGTCTTGGCTTGTAAATCACAGGTTTTGTACAACATTCTTGATTGGCCTACCAAGCCACATTCCAAACTAATTGTGATAGGTAAACACCCACATTCTTGATTGGTTCAACATGGCAGGCACAATTTGATGATAACAAAAGAATGGGACTTTATTTCTGCATTTTGAATATCATTCCAGGTATAGCAAATACCATGGATCTTCCTGAAAAGTTGCTTCCACGCATCTCGAGTCGGATGGGCATACAGAGGCTTTGCTTTGGGCCCTATAACTACCAGCAGCTTCAAGAAATCATATCTAGTCGCCTCAAAGGAATTGATGCTTTTGAAAAACCAGCAATTGAATTTGCTTCTAGAAAGGTTTTTTTTTTTCTCTTTTTATAAATGAATTATGTTTATGTGTACCTCATAAAGAGTTCACCTGCTTTGAAGCTTTCATTACTATTGGTGTTTATGTTTCTAAATTTAGGTTGCTGCTGTCTCTGGTGATGCTCGCCGTGCACTGGAGATATGTAGGCGAGCGGCAGAACTTGCAGATTATCGCTTAAGAAAATCACAATCACTTAATGATTCCGCTGGTACAAGTGAGACCTCTTAGATGTTGCTTTCATCAATCTGAAGATATTTTAATTAGAATGCATGTCAATCCAGCATCGGATGAAGAATTGTACCAATAGAGAAAAAGGAATACCAACTTATTGGCTCTTGTGCTTCTCATTTTCAGTTAAGAAGAATCTGCATAAGAAATACCCTTGAACTATTTCATGTAATTTGGCAATAAATCTTTTCCATTTTTGTTTTCATCAAATGAATCGACAATTTCTAAGCACTTTACAATATCCAGATAGACTGCTATGAATTGCATGGGCATGTGCTATCCCGGTTCAGAATGATCCGTGAAAGGACATATATAGTCCATATAACCTGTAATCAGATCTGAAAATAAAGCATTTCATGGTAGATTGTGTTGCAAAAATTTTATGGCATGAAATTCAGTAATATTGCTTATTCTTTCTCTAATCCAAAATTGATGAAGCCAAAGTTTTAGTGTCCTTGAAGTTTCTGCAAGATATCATGGTTATGCAAGTATTGCCATTTTTCATCTTTCAGCATTTACTTATATCATCGAGTATGAGAGGCAAGATAAGAGCAGGCTGGCCTTCTATTCAACTTTTGGTAAATAAAAGAATTTAAGACAACAATTTGTGAAATGATGGACTTGGTATTGGCCCACATAAAGTACTTTCTGACTCCTATTTTTTATTTTTACAATGTTAATATTGTAAAGATTTCTAGAAATGCTGGCTAATTCCTTAGAATGTAGATGTGTAAAGTTTTAGTTTGGTTACAGAAACTTATTAGGCTAAAATGCTGGGAAAAGAGAGTCAACGATGAAAAATTTGCTTCAGGATTTGTGGAGACATATAGGAAAAGAATTTAGACATTGATGAAACTTCTGCCTGTTCTACCTCTATCTATGTGGCTAGATAAGTGAAGTGATGTTTATAGTACTTGTCGAAAGACCTGGGGACATTGACAGCACAGTAACATGGCTGGTATTATGTGTATTTTGTGACACCTTTTCATCAGAGGCAGGCAATTTATTTGAAGATTAATAGTGATAAGTTGCACACTTAGAATTGGTGATGTGATAATATTTAGGACAAAAAGACATCAATAATCTCGTTTTCTGCAACAGATGGCTTTAAGATATCAGGTCTGCACCTCTCTTTAGATATACCAAATTGGATGTCCAATAGCTTCTTATGGCATCTAAGCCTCACATGATTTGGTGAACCATTTGCTACCTGATGCTGTAGTCAGAAGTACAGTTTTACACTAAAATCAGTTTCTGTTCTTTTTGAAAGAGAAAAAGTACAGTTTAATCCACAATGTGAAAGTAGTAAAAGTACCTGTAGTTACTGCAGTTTTATTAATGATTTTGCAGTTTTAAGTTCTCACGTTTAAGATATTTAAATCCTGCTTATTTGTTCCACGCCAGAAAAATGTGGATTCACAGTTTCTTTGTGAACTTATCAGGTTTCAATGAATCAAAACAGGCACTAATATAGGGTTAAGGCAGTCAATTCAAAAGTTAAACATATTTCATACTATAAAATTTGTTTCAAAGTAACTAACCATTTAGTGACCTTGTTCTCATGATCTTGTCGTCTGACATTTTCTTTCAAGTCATCCCAAGTAAACCAATTTGTGGGGCTTTTTGGTATTACTGCTCATGCAAACCCTAATAAGGCTTCTAAGCATCACAATGAAGGTTGATACATTTACCATTAGCTGTCAATTCTTTTGACGAACTTAAATTTTGTGTAAATTGAAGAAAGGTAATTTGCATCCCTTAAACATTTAAAAAAAAAAAATCAAAGCCATATCATCGGGATATTTGAAATGAAGCAAGCGATGTATGAAAAGTTAACAAAAAAGTCTTTGTATGGAGCTGTAATGACACCATATGCTGGTATTACAGTTTTCCTTTTGATCTATCTCTACACCTTCTCGCAACTAGCTAATGAACTGTTAACATCGACCACCAGCTTTGTGAAGATAGATTCTGTCAGCTAGCAGGTGCCAAAGGATTAAGTTAACTACCTTACCTTACAGCTTTATAGCTGTAAGCTTCAGTGAGGACATTGAAGAACTAATTATTGTGATCTACACTGTCTTTTCTGTTGCACAACATCTACTGTCCCTTCTTGATGATTGATATAATATACATACATATGTATATATGGTCTTCATTTATAGCACCTAATGATGAAAAAACTTGGCTTTGCTGAAATAAGCAGGCAATTTTACCCCCGTTCCTTTAGAAATTTTGGGGTTCAGGATGTACATTGTGCATTGTCCCCTGTTCTGCCTGGTATGCTAATGTTGGTGATGAATAACTAGAACTTCAAATGTGTAGAATTCATTTCATTAAGAACTATGCCTGGTCCTTAAAAACTTGTGCTCAGATGACGAACCTGCATGATGCCATTTGTTCAGGAAGAAGTCTTGTTGGTGTGGCAGATGTAGAAGCAGCAATAAAGGAAATGTTCCAGGCTCCTCATATTCAAGTAAGTATACAACTGTGAAGTATCACGTGAACACTACTCCATTACAGTTCTTAGAGGAATACATCAGTGATGTCAAGGAAATGCTGTGCCGCTGTCTTGAGGGTGGATCCAAGTATTTGATGGTACTAGTTCCCTGACAGGGCTTGAGTAATCAAGTTATGGATACTAATGAAGTCTGTTTTGATTGAAATGCAACTTGATACAGCTGGCTTAATATTAGATGTGGTCATAAAAGGCCAAAATTTTCTTCCTTTTTTTTTTGAGGCTGGGAAGGGAGTTCTGCCTTTGTATTCTTTAGATCATTAAGTGGTCCATATTTCTTTGATGTTCACTTATTAACTGCAGTTTTCTTTTTATAGCTAGTCTATACATTACTTACTGGAGAACCACCATATACACTGCTCATACAGGCATTATTTATGTATTGACTTCGTTCGCAGGTAATGAAAAGTTGTTCCAAACTGAGCAAAATATTCTTGGCAGCAATGGTGCATGAACTGTACAAAACTGGAATGGGTGAAACCAGCTTTGAAAAGGTTATATGGACCCTTTCATTCTTTGATTTTTATTCTTCTTAGAATGATGGTTATGAATACAGCAGTACTAGTATTGTTGTTGTTAGAGTTAATGTTGTTATTACTATCATTTTTGTAGTCTTACTCCTTGCTGCTGTGCTACCATCTGAATGCCTGAGTTATGCATCTTCACATGGTTGCAAGCTGCCAATTGCTTCCTTGGCACATACAGCGCTATCATATTTTGTTTGTCTTATCTATTACTTTTTCTATTACCACAAGATAGTAGATACAACTTGCTGTTTCTTTGTGATTTATTTTTGATTCCGCCAAACTGTCCTTGGGATTTCTTTTTCCTTCTTTGTTTTTGGATGTGGCACCAGGAGTTGGGGAAAGGGGATGGGGGATTTAGCTTTTTCGGGCTGTTAGGGTAGCTTGACTATATTGTTTGGTATGAAATCTGATATTCTGCATCCAGCCTCCAGCTGCTGCTGAGAGGTTGTTGAATGTTAGTTGATGCCACAGCAGCAGCTGGAAAGTAAAAGATTACATTCAGTGTCATTCAAAAATTGAATCTTCCCATTTTTATCAGGTTTTACTGTTTCTGTTTTGTGTTGACTTTTCTTTTAAGTTTTTAAAGATTTTTTTTAAATTATATTCTGTGGGAGAGGCTATAATATTATATTGCTCTTCAGCATAATGTCCGTAAATGCTTGCTGTATATGCAGTTGGCAATGACAGTTTCATGCCTGTGTACAAGCAACGGTGAAGCATTTCCAGGATTTGACACACTCTTTAGAGTTGGGTAAGATGCGTAAATAGTTGTATTTCCTTCAATCATGTGAACCAAAGTATATTGTCAGCCATATTCTTGTAGACCTTGTATTGAAATGACTTCATTTATGTGCTCAAAGACACGAAATAAGTGTGACATTTGTGTCGTTGCCATGTATGCACTTACTAATTAGCAAAGAAGATTTAGACCGAATTTGAAGTTCTAATGTGCCCCAGAGTTAAAGTTGAGGAATTTTCTTTTCACTCCTTGTGTTTGATATTGGATCTAAAAAGGATTTCTTTGTTTTTGTTCCTTTCTTCTGTAGTTGAAAAATCAAAGACCTTTTTTCCGTGTTACCTTGATCATTCAGAGGCTTATTGTTATTGATAACATAAGAGTGTCTCTGTACATTGCTGGAATTTGCATCTTCGTTTCATTTTAGTGAGCATCGAATTCTCCATTAGAAAATTATAGATGGTGAAAAAACTTGAGCTGACATGTAGTGAGGTAATCTATGTGTGTTGAGTCCATGTCAGATGAATTTAAAACCTATTTACCTCTAGTGTTTCTAATATTGTGGCAGATGTAAGCTTGGGGAATGTCGAATTATATTATGTGAAGCGGGAGTCAGACACAAATTGCAAAAATTGCAACTCAATTTCCCAAGGTCAGTCATCACCAAGCCCTTTGTTTTAACTGAATAATCATTATTCCTCTGAGCTTACTTTCCCAACTTTAACAAGTTTCAATTAACTGCTGTCTGATACTGTGCTTGTGGCATCCAGAGGTCTTGAAAAAAAGTGTAATCCAGTTTTACTAATTAGGGTGTCTAAGAGCCAAAGGCAGAAAACTTTGTCAGCTTGGTCAATACTTGTGATTTTAGTTGAAGACGTATGTTCAATGCCACATCATTGCAAATCAAAATACCGGCCATCAAATGGATAAATGGATTGACTGGTGCTGACATAGGATATCATTTTGTTACCATTCAGTTAGATGACTCTCCTGCATAGCATCTCTTGAAGCTGGCAATTGTAGAAAAGAAATAAAAATAAAAACCGAATTTAGGTGTGTGGGAGACTACATGACAGGTCGACAGTTACGTTGTCTATGCCTCTGATTTGATATTTAGTTTGTGTAACAAAAATTTAAGATGACAAATATAATTGGCCTCATTCAGGATGGAACTAGTATAATGGTCCAAAGTTTGTGCCTGCAACATTTCAATTTTTCATATACAATGAATATATGTGCCTGCAGCATTCCACTTTTTTGCATCTGAATATTATGTACATTGAAACTAGATTACAGTCCTGATGTTTCTGTTGAATTTTGCAGTGATGATGTGACTTTTGCCCTCAAAGACAGCAAAGACCTACCATGGTTGGCTAAATACCTGTAATCACAAATAGTGAGATGCTAATGCATTCTTTCCCGCTTGTGTACTACAGATTTATTCTTTTTACGTTTTCTAAAACCCTCTCAATTTTGCAAATTCATTTTTATTTTGGGATCTAAATCCCTGTTATGATTGTAGAAGTGGGATTATAATTATCGGCCTTCCACATGGCAAGGCACTTATCAGATGTGCACTTCTTAGTTTTGATAGGCATTTATATATGCTTTTTCCTGCAAATGACTAAACTTTTTATATCGAATTGATGAGTATTTAGTTGCAATGAATTTTAGCGTCAGTGCATGGGTGTTTCTTGAAATATTTTAACGGAACTTTATCATAGATGTTTCTGAAAAAATATACGGGTGGGGAACCGTTGCTACAGGGATAGGGTGGCAAGGATGGAAATGTGAGGTGTTTTCTGGTGTTTGGATTGGGTACTTATTGTTTATCTAGATCTGTTTTATAGAAACTAGTGTTTATGTAGCACCTTGCCTGCATTAGCACCTTTGATGTCTTCGCTATATCCATGATACACGGTTTATCTTTAAAGAAAGGGAAATAAGACTCCCATGTCTGTAGTCTTTCAGGTCGACAAGGCTTCTGGACCATCTAAGTAATGCCAAGAAGCTTTTCTGTATTTTTGTCATCACAGCACTTGTGCTGCATGGAGTCCAAGTTCTACTTGAGCTAACAATTTCCTGTGTCATCTTTATCCATTATGATATTAGGCACAATGCAAATTTCAGATCCTTTTATTCTCAATAATCTTTAGCACGTCCAAGGAGAGGTTTTGAATTTGAACCTTTAGAACTTTAGTGTTAGTATGTGTTTTTGCACTCAAAATGTCAATGCAAGTTTGTTTCTAATCTTTTCCAAAGTGAAACCATACTTGTCTCGCTGTTAGGAAATTCTGTTATGACACTGGGGATACCCAAGTAATTATCAAAGGTCATTTGTCGATTCCTAGACCAGAAGAGAAGATTAGGCTCTGAGTCTGAGCATGTGGGTATGTGTTCTTGGAGAAGAACATCTTTCATTTCTCTAGGTTGATAGATAGGCCAAACCTTAGGTAAAAATTGTCTAGAACACTTTTTGCTGTATTTATAGAACGTTCTCCACAACTAAAGAACAAAATTAGGTCATCTGCAATCATGCAGTCAGTGTGAGATGACAGGCCCAATCTTTAAAGGCTCCCATTTTTCTGGCTCGCTGCTTCGTCATACATATGGAAATATACATATGGAGAAATGGACCCCCTTGTCTGATTACCCTAAAAAGAATTATCCATTTAGAGGGACAGGTTCGACGGGATTATTAAGAGGTCAAAAGGGATTAAACCGTATTTTTATATTTTAAGAGAAGGGGAAGTCAAAAGGGATTAAATCGTATTTTTATATTTTAAGAGAAGGGGATAGGTCCAACGAGATCACTAACATGTCAAAGGAATCTAAATACTTCTGAACCAAATATGTGTGCACTAAAGGACCCGGTGAATTTGAAAGGTTAAGAATTTCTAGTGTTTGATATTTGACAAAGAAGATTTGATCTCCCAACCAACATCCCAATAGGAACTTAAAGACCCTCTTGATGGACACTAGACCAATGGTTCAAGTTAAGGCCTCTCATGAAACTCCATTCAAATTTGTCATAAGCATTTTCCAGGTTTATTTTTAAAGCACGATTTCCTATTTTTCTCTCTCTTTGCTAGGAATCTTTTTCAACACTTAACGCAGCAGGAAACACATTAAACAAAAATGTAGAACTCATTTTACTCGTGATCATGAGAGTTTTTTTCTATTCAATTTGTTGGTACCGTTAGAAGATTATTGCTAAGTATCTTGAGACTCAATGAGAGCAGAGATAAGCGAGCTTGGACATCATTTATAGGAGAGCTGACAATTATACAAGAATCCTGGTCTCACCAGATTTTACACAGATGTTTAGTAGAACAACTCCAAACTGTTATCGTTTGAAAGAAAAAAAAAAAAAAAAGAACAACTCCAAACTTGAAACTGAAAGCAGGCACTAATGAGGTTGACCAAACCAGTGTAACTCAAGAGCCTACATTTATCTTTCCCTTCTCATTTAGTTTGTTGATGTTAATAAAATTAAATTGTTCATTTTGTGAAGCATTTATTTGTGAATTACTTAAAAGATTTAATAATATGTTTGCACCATAACTAACAAAACTAGAGATGTAAACGAATCTAATTAAGCTGAACACCCTAATATTCAATCTTATTTGATTATTTTATGAGCTTGAATTTTTGTTCAAATTTAATTAATTTACTTGTCAAACAGAATTTGAACAAGTTTCTTTATTGAATTTGAATGTTATCGAATAAAAGATGTTATTCAAATTTAGTTTGACTAGTCAATGACTAATCTCATACGAAACTCTTATCAAACCGAACTTGATTTAAGTCTCGAGTAATTTGATTCATTTTTCAACACTCTATACATCAAATTATTATCTTCACAGCAGAGATGTACTCCTTTGTCTTCTTAATACAACGATAAGATTATCTTTTCTATTTTTACTATTTTTTTTCATTTCTTAGTTACGACCTTTTTTCCAATTAGCTTTGCACTTTTCGTCAACAAACTATTGACTTAAATTTCTTGCGCTGTTTGAGCATAAGCTTTTATCTGTTCCAGATTTTGTAAGAATGGTAGAATTAATTTTAGAATAGTTACATGTAACCATAATGATTATTATAATAAAAAATGTCAAGATTAAAAGTCTACATACACTTTTCGCGTGCGTGTTTACACACACTTGCTAAAACCTACAATAGTGGGTATACCTAATAGTAATAAAAAGATAATCCATGCAGCATCTGGTATACAAATCTGAGTCGTTACTTTTTTAACTTGTCAAACTCCATCTACTTTTGAAGTCGAATTTGAATTCTGTTTCTAAGCATTTAATCAACAATTTGCTAGAAGGTTAACCGCGTAAACATGAACGAGGAAGATGTTGGAAGCCACTCATACTACAGCAGGAGAAAACTGCATCATACAAGATGTTAAAGCAATTACCTTTTACGAACTGTAGCATTTATCTTCATGAAGTACAATTTAATCCTACTACGAAACACAAAACTGCAAATTTATGCATTTGACAGCTGCAGATTCAGAGCAGGTTGCTGCGTAAAAGAGGAGGTCCTCTGCCACAATGGCCGGCCCAGAATGGCACTTCCATGGACAGCAAGGTAGGCGGCATTCAACCTGTTTCAAAAATTGAACATTCTCAGCTAAAAGAACCACAGAGCACATGGACATCCAAGGAACAAAGACTACTGCAACATTGTTGCAAGGAAGTTGCAAAAGAGGGATTTACTTGTCAACGCCACGTGTAGCCAAAGGATCATATAGTTCCTCTCTTTGTTCTAAAGCAGGAGCAGCAGCTGATATTGCTGCAGGATCTTGAGAACCTTCACCCTGTAAAGAATACAACATAAACCACTTTTTCAGAAGAAAAATCAACAAGATGTGCAACCAAATATATTCTAAAAACAAGATTAACAAGAAAAAATTCCCAGAAGGAATAATACGTATCTCAAGATTATGGAAATCCAGAAATCTTGGTGGTGGTCACATACTGAAGGTTTTGAGAGAGGCAAAGTGTGAAAAGATGGCACATTGGCCAATGAAGTAAATCTTTCTATTATCCTCGTAATCGTCGCCTATGCTCCAGTCACCAACAAAAGTTCATAGGAAAAGAAGGGAACAAACACAACAGAAGTTGCTCATGTGCAATCCGAGTCAGCATCTTTCAACTCTCCCAATCAAAGCAGTCCATCACTGCTTAAGATGGAAGAACATTGATTGAAGCTCTATTCCAATCAACGTTACCTCACCAGGTGGAGCAAGGAAGTTATAACAGCAGATTTGCGGGTTGAGTTAAAATTTTTGATGGAACTCAATCTAACTAAATTCAAGGCAAATCTATTTTAAGCTTGGCTTCCCCAAGGTAGTTCACGAACTCCCAAGCCCCAACTGCCTAACCTCTGTTGATCTTAATCAACAAAACATCGATTATGTTGTGCAGTAAATATTTGTTTCTTCATATCTAAAACATTTGAGCTGTTCATGAACTTTGGTAACATGCTAGTACACTTACCAACAACACTATCAAGATGCAAATTTTATCCTAAATACTACTGAAGCTAAATTAATCTTCAATATCACACTTGGCAGCCAGTATGCCAAAACTTATCCAGACTGTAGATAGTTTTACCTGGATAAGTCTCAATTTGCAACTCCAAGAAGACCGACTCCCATCTCAAAGTCAAGTTTATAGATTTTCAGATATGTCATGCTTGAGAACTTGCCAAGTCAGATTAATCCACATACATAAATAGCTTAATTAGGCTTTGAGTAGAATGTGAACATGTGTTTAAACAACTCACTATCACCCCCTTCATTAGATCTTGATCTTGGATTGCCATTTAATTTTACAGATAGTGCCTGACTTCAATCATGATATCTGTAATACGACCACATACTTGATAATTCTTAAGTCACATACCCTGAAAATATAATGTATTTGGCATCGAATTCTACACTTTTTAGGTAATTTCTTAACTTTTCACCAGTCTCTTGTTTTGAAAGAATTACCTTAACAAGGGAGCATAAGAAAATGAATCTACAAACAATAGATTTCTATGTGAAGGATAAACGGCTGAAATCAAGGCACAACCACAACTCTTCATGAAACAAAGTCATCCTAAAAAGACTCAACATATTTGCAGGCAACTAAACTCGTATTCTTCTAAGTACTCAAACAGGCATGTCAGATTCTATAACCAAATCTTCTCGAGTACACAACTTCTGATCATGACACAATGTAGTTCAGTAAGCATACTTTTGAAAATATAATGTATTTGGCCACGAAGTCTACACTTCTTAGGCAATTTCTTAACTTTTAATCAGTCTCTTGCTTTGAAAGAATTACCTTAACAGGAAGCATAAGCAAATGAATCTACAGATAATAGATTTCTGTGTGAAGGGAAAATGCAAATCAAGGTACAACCACAATTCTTCTTGAAACAAAGTCATCCTAGTAAGATTCAACATATTTGCCGGCAACTAAACTCGTATTTTTCTAAGTACTCAAACAGGCATGTCTGATTCTATAACCAAATCTTCTCTAGTACACAACTTTTGATTATGACACAATGTAGTTCAGTAAGCATAGTTTTTGGCCTACATCACTAGTGCTCTCACTGTCATTAATTTCTTTGATAAAATTAGACAAAAGGGATTTCTTAAAGTTTAGTCTTGATGATTTCCCTGGCATTTTTCCACAAGGCGAAGTAAGACGTGCAAAGGCATTCATTTTGAGGGATGCAATAGAAATCATTGGCCCCATAAGGCACAGCAAGATCACCCTACAACTGGCCATTAAGCATGGTTAAGGTATTGAAGTTTGACAACACCACTTAATGCACCATACATTCATTGGTAAGTGCTATCACTTGTATCGTTCCTGCAAGACAACTATATGCTGTTGTACCCAATGTTTTTAAACATGAACCGGCTGATTGTCCAATTCTGATTTTTTCCCAACCGGCCAGTTCACCGATTCTTTGATTTTTAAATTATTTTACAATAATTAATATTTAATAACCAGCATAAAAAGATGTTAAGACAGAATGTTTAAGAAGAGCTTATCTAGAAATTTTTCAAATAGCTTGCTCAAACTAAATTTTTCACAAGAATATGCCTTAAAATCCTGCAGCAGAGGGGTTAGAAAACAAGAACATGCCCATCCACCAAAGAAAAGAAAAATGTTCATCAGAATTTCTTTAAAATTATGGCAAAAAAAAATTCCAGTTTATGGCAAAAAAGAAATTCCAGTTTCTCATATTAACAACAAAAGATATGCTGCTTTTCCCAAGTCTAAGTACAAATCAAAATAAACTTTATACAACCAAATCAAAAAATGGGGAAAAAAAGTGAAGAAAAATCAAGCATCTAAAAACATGCCAATCATCATCACCATCTCATCTTCTATTGTCCAGCATCATCTTCATCACCACTAGTATGTCTTCTATGCTTAAAAATTATGGATATAATCTTCATCAAGTTTATCATAGTTTTCACCATTTAAAAACAAAAATAAAAAAATAGATGAGAGATTAAGAAGGGCTGCAAACAAGGGATGTTGTAGCAGTGGGATGAGTGTGATGAGAGGGTGGAGAAGAAGGATCTAGTCAAAAAGAGGAAACTGACGGCCAAAAGAAAATAAGGGGAAGCTGATGTTTTGGAGTTGATGTGGATGATTAATTAGCCCATTAAGTTTGTTTTAGCCCTTTGTGAGCAAATCAATATAGTCAAGTTGCTACCTAAAATTTTGGGCTTTATCAGCCCAAAATTCAAAAAAAAATTGAGAAGCCCATAAAGAAAACCCAGTGGCCCCATGTTGCATCTCAAAACCCAGACTTAACCAGTTGATTCTGGTTCACCGGTTTGTACCAGTTTTATCTGGGTTTTTGCACCAGTTTGTACCAGTATTGTCTGGTTGCTGTTTCCTCTTTTTTTACAGAACTGGACCAGTATCAAGGCCTGTTCAACCTTGGCCAGCCCGGTTTTGAAAACACTGGTTGTACCAGTTTGATTTTTTCTGTAAGTCAACACTATCAAGACTAAGTGCAAGCAAAGATTAAAGATGCTGTAAAACCTCAGAAAGCTTTGAACCATGAAAGAGATATCAATCATGAATTTTCTAACAAAATATTCCAGAAAGTATGTCTTCCATTTTTCTTTTGCATTTCTCGCTCTTTTGTCCCCTCTATTATGATACACAGAGCCGTATACCCACAACAGAAGTCCAGCACAGGAAATGGGAATAGTTTACTTAAAACTTTAGGTTCTAGCTTAAAGTGATTTGGATTCCACTATCAAGGGGCATCATCCTTGACTTATAACAGCAGTAAATCATGTACTTGGAGAAGATACTAGAAGAATATATAACATCATCTGATATTGGAGCAAGAATTTAATTTTTACATGTTGAAGCCCAGTAATACACTAACAGTTCTACTACATTTACTTTTAACTTCTTCTTGGATATATAGAAGCTAGCAATCTGCAAAATCCTAAAACACCCAAAACTATGGGCTTGTTCTTGTCTTTTGTAGATTTTGCAAAAGCATATTATGGAAAGTGATTCTAGAAATCATCAGAATCAGCTAAAGCTACTCTTTGGTAGATTATGGATTTTAGTTTTTTTGTAATTAAAAAATCTAAAATCTAGATGCAAAGGCGAACAACAAAATTATTAAAAAACAAAAAGACTATTCAAAACCAGAATCTATAACCAGGTGAAATAATCAAATGAGAAAAAGCCCTATGTCATTTCAAGATGCAACTTTCCTTCTTCATTTCTATTTGTTTGTGATACTAATTTTCATCCTTCTACAGCAGATCATACGCACTTGGAGGGAAATTATGCAGAGAGCAGTTATGTTACTTTTAAGTTTAAAAAGTCCCAACTTGAACTGAAGTTAGTAATCCTTACCTACTCCTGTAGAAAGGAACAACATTCTATGATTGTCAGCATGATACCAGAATCCATAAAAATGTTTGAACTAGGAATTTCCTCAAAGAGTAATACTTGTCTAAAGTAGTATAGCAAAGCAGAAAGCAAGGAATACAACTAATCAAAATACTCATAAATCGAACAAATATATTTGCTTACCTGTTGAGTATATTGTAAATAACCAGCATATGCACCATATCCATACAATGAGGGATCTTGTGTGGCTCCATATGAATATGCATCATAGCCTTGTCCATAACCATAATAAGCACTCCATTGATTAGGATCTGTAGGCTGGGTCCAAGTACCAGGTAGATCCTGTCAGTGGTATCAAATACTCAACATCATTTAACAAAGTCCATAACAACACTAAGCTCTTTGTCTCAGTAGATAGATAGTACTCATCACTTGACTCCCCATTACCTCTGCTTTCTTAAAGGATCAATAAGTGTCCTAGTTCTCTGCCTTATTAATTGCTTAAAATAACATCCAAGTGGAAAAAAGTATCCTATCCAATCCATAAAAAATACATTCCAATCCAGGCCAGTGTGATAAAAAAGAAAGTTAATGACAGACACCTGCTTTGCCGTTGGACTCCTTCCCCAAGAAAGACGGACTACTTGTTGCCCAATCACAGCGCCCTGCATCCTTTGAATTGCTTCTTCTGCAGATGTCCTGCAAAGATGAATATCAAAAGACAGAAATTTGTCCAGAAAGAAAATGACTAAATGCGTACAAAGGAGAAAATAGGAAATCATGACAATGAAGGACAGCATTCGATGTATGCCAAAACAACTATAGTAGTTATAAACAGCTTTTAAATGCATGAGATGAGATGGCTAAAGAAATCCAACAACCAAACTCAAAGCTTAATTAGTCATTCTACACCACCAGAAAAATTCATTCTTATCTTTTTAACTTCTCTTGTTGGGAGTAGAGAGAATTTTCTTTTGTGTTTTATTCTCTTCAACAAAATATAAGTAATAGTTTGCAACATGCCTATGATAGGCAGTGATCATGCCTTTAAAATAACTGAATTAAAAGATTCACACATATTATTAACAATATATCGCAATCCAATCCAGTCTTGAAATGAGCCCTAAACCAAGTATTGGGGTCCTTTTCATCAACCATTATATGCATCTTTGATTCTTGCTTCATCATCTCTATTTCTGCTTTGAACTGAGTCATATATGAAGCCCTTGCACATCTTCAAAGCCTATCTTAAGAGTAAGACCTCTATGCATTTGCTTGAAGTTAGTATAAAAGTGTTGGACACAACACCTATGCTCAGCTTCTGGAAGTTTGTCCCTAACAGCCTAAACTATACCCTTTGCAACACACACAACAATCACATATGCCACACTAATATCAATAGTTTAACATAAATATTAATTGGATAACAAATTAATAAATACTACCTTCTGTTTGTCAGTCATATGCACCATGTACTAAGATCTGAAATTTGTAAATCTTGTACAAGCAATCCTAAAGACCAACTCCAGTTATCATAATTCTCTACCCCAACAACTGACAAAGCCAACGGAAACATTTTGTTATCACATCCATTCTAACTGCTAATAAAAGCTGCCCATCATATGGACCTTTTAGGAAGCAACTATCTAACCCAATCTCTATATCAGCCAGCTAAAAACTCTCTTTATTGGTTCTAAGCGCATATACAGCCTTCTAAACCTAGAAACACCATTTCATCTATATCAGTCTTAACAAACACAGTAAATCCCGGATTTGCCCTCTCAATTCACCACAAATGTTTCCAACATGGTGCTAGTTTGTCATGGAACCCCTGAATAGTGTCTCTCACTTTTCTAAGTGTTCTATACCTTACTTAAGGCTAAAATCAATATTTAACTCCTCAATTACTTTGGTCATCAACTCATGCACTGTCATAGATGACACTTTCCTTACCTCATCAACAAATAGTTTGCTAGCCAACCTAGATGTCATTTTTTATTGTGGAACACTCTTCCACAAGTGTGCTCATCACTAAGTGTTTTTATTTGAAAGGTGTTTTCATCTTGCATTTTAGACCCAAATAGCTGCTAGTCACAATTTCTGCATTTCAGTCTCACCCTACGTGTGTCATTTTTCTTGAAACACACATCTCTCCCATCCATTATTGCTTGGATCTTACAGCCAACCTGAATGTAATGACTGATGTGAACTTCTGACCAACTTCAAACTTTGGTTTCTTCATGTCTGTTAACTGGAAATTTAGGCCTCCTTGTTTTACTATTCCCATCTTCATCAGATTCACTTTGACTCCTCAATTCAAATGAATCATCCAAGTCATATTCTGATTCAATGTCATCAATATTAATCATATCAGGGTCATCACAACAGTTAATTTTAATGGGTGGGTCTCTCTTCCTTCTTGGCTTTTTCTTTCTTTGCTCACTACAATGAGAAGGACCAGGTTTATTGCAATGCGAAGGGCCAGCTTCATGTGCACCTAGGTCTACTCCAATAGTTTGACCAATTTTGATGGCTTCATCTAATACGTCATTGTCTCCCCCTGGATCCTCATAGTCTGAATCTGCCATCTTCTTATCAACATTGACTCCATTTTCTTCCTCTTCTTGTCTGGCAATATCACATGATATTTCCCCTACACCACCTTCATTGCTGGCTGCCTTTTGTGCATTTTCATTGCAATTTTTACATTCATTTTCTTCTCTGACTTGTGCATTTAAAGCTTCATCATAACCTTCAACATCTTTTGTTCCTTTGCAGCATCACTCCTATTATCAGCTTTCTCTTCTACCAAATGTCGTGCCCCATTTTTTTGAGATAAGAATAAAAGATGAGTTTAAAAAAAATGGCTTTTGATTCAATTTTTGATTGGAAAATGACTTTTTGATTTAAAAAGAAAATGAAAAATATGAGTCTAAATGGGACTTGAAAATGTGACGATTTGACCCAAAATATAGTTTAAAAAGGGTTATTTGAATTAAAAATCGGAATCGCCACTTGGTATAGAGTTAAGGTGTACCAAGTCACCTAAAAGTGAATTTTTAAAGAAAAGTAGAAAACTCTTTTCAAACGAACCCCAAGTCTACGAAAATCAGAGAAAAAGATTCGGGAGTCACATTTGAAGAAAGAGAAGGCAAGGATAAGAATCCAAGGCACCATTTCAACCTAGCCAAGGCTAGTTGCGTGATTTAGTCAAAGATTTTCTTATATTACCCTTAAGATTTATCACATTTGGATGTACTATATGAATGCATACCCTAGACCTAAGAGGGTGTCAGGGGGGTTTCGAAATGTATCTTCAAAGCTTACTTCGGTACCAATCACATTAATTGTGACGCCCAATAAAGACTTTTCGAAAAAATCACGAATAATGCAAGTCATGAGACTCGAAAGAAAGGAAAAGTAAAGAAAATAATAATATACAAATGTGTATGACCTAAAGGAATGCATCATAATGGGTGCGGGGACTAATGTTCGTGACTCAATTTTCCCTTTAATAGAGGGAATACGAGTGTGCTAAGGCTAGAAAGCCAAACTCGTCAATATCCCATACTCAAGGGGTTTTTTCTAGTCTAACCAAGCAAATGTACTAACCTAGGTTTAATACTTAGATGAAACGCAAGTCTAATGTCATGTTTCATACAAAGGGGTAAGTAATATACATATGAGGGAAAATATGGGGGAAGGGATATACGTAGAAGGAGGGATGTCATGCAAAAAAAATGATAAAAGACCCTAAAAAGTGAAAACATGCATGAGATGGAGTGATTTTATCACACAATCATGATCTAACGCTCGAGGGCTCCTAAGGGTCTAGCATTGGACTAGCCCTTTTACTAATACTCTCTCACAAGCATTGGACTTGTGAGGGCTCGAGGGGAAAACCATGACTAGCATTGGACTAGCCACGGTAACGTGCATTCATCCACACAATCAGATACAATATTAAAACAAATAGACATGCAAAACACATAGTTTCACATAGCACGTAACACATAAGCATGCTTGTCTAGATGCAGAATCCTAGGAAACGATTAAACACATAGGCATATAGGCACACACAAGCACATAGCACACAAGCCCTATCTATTACAAAAGGGGATGCCTACTACAGTCTAAAGGGGAGATAAAATAAATAAATAATTAAAATAAATAAATCTTTAACTATTACAAATTTGGCATCCAAGTGCCTTTCAAATGAGCAAAATTGAACTACAATAAATATTCAAAACTAAAGCCAATAAGTAAGTAAATGATAAAGATAAAACACTTTCAACAGGCATGCAATTAAACACATAAAGTCATATAGGGCATGTAGGATCCAATAAAGTGAGAAATAAGGGATAAAACGTACCTCCCTTGAGGTGGGGCCCTAATTGAATGAAATCACTTATTTACCCTCCAAAATAAAAGAAAAGGTCAAGGCATCTCAAATAATCACGTTTATACGAAATTGAATCATTAAATGCATTCAAATGCCTAAACAGTCCATATTCACAAGATTAGGATCCAATTGAAAGGAAAAAGAAAGTTCAAGGGGGGCAATTTGATTGATTTTTTAATTATTTGGGCCATAGTATAACAAAAAGGAACTTGGGGGGTTAAAGTGTAATTTTTAGAATTACTTTCCATGCATGCTACGAAGAAACAAATTCTCATCTCTGGTTTCCCTTTCTCTGCAGCTTACTGTGTTTCATTACCAACCCAAACATTACCAACAAACATCGACTTTTGAATCAAACGATCACAAGACACTCCCCCAATCATCAACCAAGCCAAATATTACATTTGTGTTGCAAGACCGAATGAGAAAAATCTGGTTTAGTGATTGCTAGAAAAACAAAGTGCAGCAGTAGTTTTCGTAACAGCAAAACAAGAAAATGCAGCAACAATCTTTAACTCTTGTTTGAAATGCCAAAAACAAAACGTTCAAGAAATCATGCTTAAGCTCAGACCCTGAAACAAACAAGATGCCAAACATGCTATGAATCAAACACTCATCAGAGAAAACGCATGCCAAGCTGAAGTTTTCCTTCCCACAACACTTTGTCTTCGACTTCAGCATATAGGAAACAACCATGAATAGCTTGCTGAAGCCTCCAACTTCAACTCTTAAAGACATCAAATTCCAAATCAGAAAATGAAAACCAAATGCGTGGTTAATATTCGGGTCCCTCCCAATTCAAAATGTATTCGCAAGGAAATAAACTTCTGCACTGATTTGCTTTTTTTTTTAACTTTGCAGGTGACCTGATAGCATGTGATAATCTTAACCAGAAAAAACAATCTCAAATATTTAACAAGCTTCCTAAACTCATCACTGAAATATAACATTGAATGCACAAACGAAGGAAAAAAATCTGAGCAAAGGAGGAATTCATCAGACCCCAGATTCATTCATTAGTTTCAAAACTAATGACTTTCCAAACACAGCTTTAACACCAGATGTTGTTCATGGCATTTCACTCAAGCATAGACAACAAAAAACAAGCAAGTCAAACGAAGTCATAGCTTCAGCAAAACGAATACGTGAAAATGACAGCCACTACAACCCAAAGTAAAACACATGAATTGGTCAAACGTTGCTGCAACAGATTTGAGCAAGCCGAGAGTTGCAAACCTGTTGCATTAGAAGCTCAATCTATTTCTAAGAATCCAGAGCTACCCAACTACGATAAAGGATCTCACGAACAGGGGCATAAGGCCATATTCATCAGAAATCAGCAATAACATCATGTTCATCAGAAATCAGCAACAACAAATCACAACCAAGAATAAACGAACTAGAAAGCTGCAGATCCTTACACAAATATCACCAGATCTTCACAAAATGGTATGAAAATGACAGGAAGAAAGGCTGGAGTTACCTACAAATGTCGGTGAAATAAAGCAAACGTGAAATATGTCCGAAAAATGCATGCAAATTCCAGAAATGAGATTGAGAATGCCGGCGCCGCAGAACTTCAGCGCTGATGAAGTCGTCACCTTGGCTCCTGATTTGGCTATCTTCCTATGGTTTTCCCTTCAAAATTTCTGAATGAAAAACACTCCCATCACATTGTAGATGTTCCAGATTACCCTAAATCTCCAATAAGGAGCCAAATCCATAGAAAAAATTGCCTCCAAAGACAACAGAAAATCAGCCTGGATAGCAGATTTTCTGGAAAATTTTCTCTTCCCGCCGCCGCTCTTTCCCCTCGTTTTTCTCAGTTTTCTCCTCTAACTCTTCCCAGATCTAACTCTCTCCCTCTCTTATTTTGGTTTTCTTCCCTATCCCAGAAAGCTCTCTAGTTTCCCCGGCTCCTTTCTTCTTCGTGTTCCCTTTTCGCAAACCTCAGCCGAAGCCTCCCTCTTTACTTCGGTCCTCCTGTTTTTCCCTCAACCAAAGACGAAAGCCCTCTGTTCTTTTCCTTCCCTTTTTCGTTTCCTATGTAGCTCCTCCGAAAGCTTCTCCCTCAGTTTTTTCTTTTCCTTCTGCTTTTTCTTCCTCCTTCAGTCCAACGCTTTTTCTTTGTTTTCGTTCCTTTTCCCCGCAGCTTCTCTCTTTTCACCGTTTTCCCTCCTTCCGGGTCTCTAACTCAGCCGCCCTACTGTTTTTCTTTCTGTCAACCTCAGCCCTCCTCCTTTCTAGTTTCTCTCAGCCGTCCTTAGATGCTCCCTTAGTTCTCTGCTGTTATCTTTCTTTTCCCGTCGTTCTCCTTTTTGCCCCCCTTTTTCTCAGCCGCCCCTTCTTCCTTTTATAACAAACAAAACACTAAACCCTCCTCTAAAGGGTTCTGATGGAAGCCAAGTCATTAGCCTTGTAGATCATCCGATGGTGAACAAAAACAAGGAGTTGTTGTGCCTGCTTGAAATGTTATATGAAGAAATAGGCGCGGATCCTGTGTAGCTCGGGTGCATGAGCCTGTTTCCTTTTTTTTTCGGCATTTTCATTTTTTCATTTTTCTCTTTTTCTTTTGTTTTTCTGAAATTTAATATGAAGACAAAATAAACCAGAACAAAATAAAATAAAATAAAAATTAAAACCCTAGAATTGAAACAAATAAACCCATTAAATTAATTAAACAAATAAAATTAAAAGATCAAAAATTTGGTGTCTACACCAAAATTTCAGTTTCAGTCGCTTTGCTATTCACGTCTTCATATTCTGGTTCATCTTCAGCAGCAACACTATAAAAATCCTCACTTTTTTGTTCAACATCAGCACATTTTCCTTGCTTGCCTGCAGTTTTTGGTGCTATTTCTGGCCCATTACTACTGTCTAAATCTTTAGAAAACAGATTCGGTACTCTCGGTGTCCAGTTGCTACTGCACCCTTTTGTAGTGTCTAAATTTACTGGATGAATGTCAATATTTTCTCTACCATCTTTTTCCACTTCATCAGGGTCTATACCTTTTCTATGATTATAACATCACTGTCTCTATCCCTTTCGGCTTCATCTCCCTTAGCTTGACTTAAGGGTGCTACAGCCTGTGGATAACCTTGTGAGAAAACTCTAAGAAACACTTCTGCCACCCTATGTGGTGGTAATATGTTCACCATCATCTCACAATCCCTATCACACATACAAAAGACCAAGCCTGTATCCAATGTCATCCCTGGTAGCAGATAATACCACCCAAAACCATCTTCTACATCATACCCAAGTCTCTCTTCACATTTGTCTAGAGCTACTAATGACCACATTTTTGGGTTGCATCTACCTATAAAATCAACCATTCCCCCTATATACTGCTTGTTAGGAGAGTCTGTGAAGGTCCCTTGATGGTGTATCTTTAAGGAGAAAGGTTCAGGCCAAATTCCACTATCACCATTTCCTGGTTCAAAGAAAAATTTTTTTAATTCAATAATTAATTTTTTGACACCTTTTACAGTGAATCGGGACCACAATGTCTTTAATACAAGGAACATTAGGGTTTGGACAAGATAAACATTGACTTAAAAAAGACCCCAAATCATTTTCAAGCCCATACATTCGACATTAAACAATTTTGTCTACCATAATTTATCACTAACATATAACATATAGAGGTCAATCTGGCCCTTTTTACATTCCACAATATCACTACTAAACCTAACCGACAACAATCAAATAACCCAACTACTATATACGCTATTATCCAACAAGCAAACAATGACCGTAATATCATTTCTCTTACTGGGGCGGCCTTTCTCTTCTTGTTCTTCAATGGCAACCTCATTTCTCCATCAAACCCTCTTCAATGGCGATCTTGAATTTTCCATGTTTACAATAAATTTCATCTCTGACTCACGGTCACTATCATTTCAAGGGTATAGACTAGTAGAAATTTGATAATGTATTGTTCACACCTTTTTCTCTCTCTCTCTCTGTGTTCAAATCCAAGGTGAAGACGGCAGAAACAAAAACAAAGCTGTTTCGACTTATTTTTCTTTTGCCCTTATACCTAACGGGTGGCTATTTTAGTTTTCATGACTTATCTAATCTCACTAACGGCGCTTGTTTTGCACGCTCGAAGAACCCTGATGATTCTGTGGAGTCCGTCAACGATTTTACTTAATTGGGACGGATTCAGTAGTTTGGGGACTTAAGTGTCTCATTTACAAGTTTAGGGATTAAAGTGAAAATAGAGTATAGTTTAGGGGGTCAAAAGGAAATTTACCCGGTTTAATTTGGTATCAAAGACAGAGAAAGAGGATCCAAGGCATTTTAAAAAACGCGGGAAAGCCAAGCCAAGCTGCAAATTCCCGCCATTTCATGTTACTATTTCCGCCCCCAACTAAGCAAAACACCAAAAACAAATACAAAGTCCACGCCTGCTACCGCCGCCGCCGCAGCAGCCACCGGTTTCCTCCTGAAATAGAGCTCCCATGGCTGAAACTCCAAAGAAAAGATCCAAACAAACCCCTGAGCACCAACAGCATGATCTATCTTCCTCAAATGCCATTACAATCCTGCAACCCCAGTAGCCCTAGACCCCACCCCTGTCCGCCGATCTTCCCGCCTTTACACCAACCCAACAGCGGCCACTGCTCCACCTCCTCCACCACCACGTTTCACCCGCCGTAAATCCCTCAATTTCACAACCACCACCCCACCCCCACCCCACCCCAAAACCCCCAAGAAACCAGCTCCCCAAAGTCAGGAAGATGCTGCTAAGCAGATTTCGCCTATATCCCCCGATCGATATGAAACTAGGAGAAAAAGAAAATTAGATGAAGAAAAGAATGCGGGTCTTGCGAAAAATAAGGATTTGAAAGGGGGAAGAAAAGGGTTTATTATAGAAAAGTGGTTTATGATGGGGGTGAGTTTTCTATAGGGATGATGTCTATGTGAAGAGGAGAGACAATGCTGAATCGGATAATGAGGATCCTGAAGTGGAGGAGTGTGTGATGTGCTTTAAGGCTGGGAGGGCGGTGATGATTGAGTGTGATGAATGCTTGGGGGGATTTCATCTCAAATGTTTGAAACCACCTTTAAAGGAGGTTCCAGAGGGGGATTGGATTTGCAGGTTCTGCGAGGCAACAAAGTTGGGGAAAAATGTTGAATTGCCTGTGCCACCTGCAGGGAAGAAGAGGGCTAGGACTGCTAAGGAGAAGTTGCTTTCGAGTGATTTGTGGGCAGCCCATATTGAAAGGTTTGGAAAACACTTTTCCAACCAATGTTATGTTTTGATGATTATGCCTCAACTGGTTAATGATTCCTGATTACGTTTACACTGGTGATTTTTGAATATCGCATAGTATGTGGAAGGAAGTGGATGGTACTTATTGGTTTCGGTCTCGATGGTATATTATTCCTGAGGAGACTGCTGCTGGGAGACAGCCACACAATTTAAGGAGGGAGCTTTACAGGACTAACGAATTTGCTGATGTTGAGGTAGTAACTGCAATCCCCTAATTCACCGTATAGGTTCACTTTTTCCAGATGCAATTGCTTATGCTTTCATGATAGCGGACTGCATATTTATAGATGTTGGAGAAGAACAGGTTTATGCCATGATTTTTGCATAATGTTTTGCATAGTCCCAAAGTGTTGCTCAGTATTGTATGCTGTGTTTCTTTTTTGTAATGCTTGGATAACTGTATATTGCATTGTTAATTACCATTGTGTACTGAGACTGTTTCTTTTATGCACATAGAACCTGGTAAAGAGCAGTTTGTGGGCATTTCATGGAATGTAACAATTGTTTTATGAGATTAAACAAAGGCTGTTGAGAGTCTGGATTTCTCTAACTATGAAGGCATCATGTTTCTAAGGGGTTCTTTTAGGACACATGGAATTTTCTGTGTTGACATTGACTCTGTAGTACTTGTTTCTCTAGATGGAATCTATCATTAGGCATTGTTATGTTATGAACCCTAAAGATTTTAGCAAGGCTGCTGATGAAGGAGACGACATTTTCCTGTGTGAATATGAGTATGATGTATGTTGGCACAGTTTCAAACGCATTGCAGAAATCTCAAATAATGAAGAGGTAAGTGTTCCTAAACTCTGAACAACATAATTGGGGATGGTAATGCTTTTGCATTGGACTTGATTGAGACTGATATATGCTTTTATGATTAATAGGATGCTGAAGAGGATGAAAGTGATAAGGACTGGAATTCTTGCGAAATTACGGGCTCTGATTCTGAAGATGACACAGACTATAAAAAAGAGAAGATTAATGGCTCCCAGCGTGGACCCTCATTTGGTCTCATTTGGTCATTCATTGGCTGCTGTATGATCTTTCTTTTTTTTTTTTTTTATAAATCTCCTAAGTACTTATTGGTAATGGCATCTAGTTGAAGCTGATAGGCTGTTTTAAACTCTCTCAGAACTTGCGGAAGGGGCAATTTTTTGGACTTCAAAAGATTGGGGCAAAGAAAATACCAGAACACACAAGATGCCACAAACAAACAGAAATTGGAAAAGCAAAAGCTATGCTTCTACTGGCATGCTTACCTAAGTCTCCACCTTGTAGGAATAAGTGAGGATGATGCAGTATATTGTTTATTTCTTGTGATTCTTTGGTTATCAAAAGATGACAGGTCATTCGATGTAGAGAAATGGAAGAAATAACTGCATTTATCAAAGGAGCTGTATCTGATGGTCAATGCCTCGGAAAATGTCTTTATATTCATGGAGTTCCTGGAACTGGGAAGGTAAGATCTAGTAGCTATTATTGCAACAACAGTCATATTGTTTCTAGACAACACATTAAAGTTAGCCACATAATGGTATAAACTTATTCTTGTTGTTGCCAACCAACAGACAATGACTGTCCTTGCAGTAATGAGGACCCTAAAAATCGAAGTTGATTCTGGGAATATCAAGCCTTATTGCTTCGTTGAGATCAATGGTCTAAAGCTAGCCTCACCTGAAAATATCTACAGAGTAAGGTTTTTGGCGTTTAATTTATTTAGGACATTCATCTATTGCCTGATGACATTCTCTTCTTTAATTATCTTCAGGTAATCTATGAAGCTTTAACTGGACACAGAGTTAGTTGGAAAAAGGCTCTACACTTATTGAATGAGCGATTCTCAAATGGGACGAATTGGGAAGAAGAAAATAACAAGCCTTGCATCCTACTCATAGATGAACTTGATCTTTTAGTAACCAGAAATCAATCGGTAATTGGCAGGAGATTTAAGATTAGCTACGTTAACATCTGCTTTCTACAAAATTTAGAAAATTTTTTCACCCATAACCACCTTGTTTTTCCTGTCTTGGCTTGTAAATCACAGGTTTTGTACAACATTCTTGATTGGCCTACCAAGCCACATTCCAAACTAATTGTGATAGGTAAACACCCACATTCTTGATTGGTTCAACATGGCAGGCACAATTTGATGATAACAAAAGAATGGGACTTTATTTCTGCATTTTGAATATCATTCCAGGTATAGCAAATACCATGGATCTTCCTGAAAAGTTGCTTCCACGCATCTCGAGTCGGATGGGCATACAGAGGCTTTGCTTTGGGCCCTATAACTACCAGCAGCTTCAAGAAATCATATCTAGTCGCCTCAAAGGAATTGATGCTTTTGAAAAACCAGCAATTGAATTTGCTTCTAGAAAGGTTTTTTTTTTTCTCTTTTTATAAATGAATTATGTTTATGTGTACCTCATAAAGAGTTCACCTGCTTTGAAGCTTTCATTACTATTGGTGTTTATGTTTCTAAATTTAGGTTGCTGCTGTCTCTGGTGATGCTCGCCGTGCACTGGAGATATGTAGGCGAGCGGCAGAACTTGCAGATTATCGCTTAAGAAAATCACAATCACTTAATGATTCTGCTGGTACAAGTGAGACCTCTTAGATGTTGCTTTCATCAATCTGAAGATATTTTAATTAGAATGCATGTCAATCCAGCATCGGATGAAGAATTGTACCAATAGAGAAAAAGGAATACCAACTTATTGGCTCTTGTGCTTCTCATTTTCAGTTAAGAAGAATCTGCATAAGAAATACCCTTGAACTATTTCATGTAATTTGGCAATAAATCTTTTCCATTTTTGTTTTCATCAAATGAATCGACAATTTCTAAGCACTTTACAATATCCAGATAGACTGCTATGAATTGCATGGGCATGTGCTATCCCGGTTCAGAATGATCCGTGAAAGGACATATAGTCCATATAACCTGTAATCAGATCTGAAAATAAAGCATTTCATGGTAGATTGTGTTGCAAAAATTTTATGGCATGAAATTCAGTAATATTGCTTATTCTTTCTCTAATCCAAAATTGATGAAGCCAAAGTTTTAGTGTCCTTGAAGTTTCTGCAAGATATCATGGTTATGCAAGTATTGCCATTTTTCATCTTTCAGCATTTACTTATATCATCGAGTATGAGAGGCAAGATAAGAGCAGGCTGGCCTTCTATTCAACTTTTGGTAAATAAAAGAATTTAAGACAACAATTTGTGAAATGATGGACTTGGTATTGGCCCACATAAAGTACTTTCTGACTCCTATTTTTTATTTTTACAATGTTAATATTGTAAAGATTTCTAGAAATGCTGGCTAATTCCTTAGAATGTAGATGTGTAAAGTTTTAGTTTGGTTACAGAAACTTATTAGGCTAAAATGCAGGGAAAAGAGAGTCAACGATGAAAAATTTGCTTCAGGATTTGTGGAGACATATAGGAAAAGAATTTAGACATTGATGAAACTTCTGCCTGTTCTACCTCTATCTATGTGGCTAGATAAGTGAAGTGATGTTTATAGTACTTGTCGAAAGACCTGGGGACATTGACAGCACAGTAACATGGCTGGTATTATGTGTATTTTGTGACACCTTTTCATCAGAGGCAGGCAATTTATTTGAAGATTAATAGTGATAAGTTGCACACTTAGAATTGGTGATGTGATAATATTTAGGACAAAAAGACATCAATAATCTCGTTTTCTGCAACAGATGGCTTTAAGATTCAGGTCTGCACCTCTCTTTAGATATACCAAATTGGATGTCCAATAGCTTCTTATGGCATCTAAGCCTCACATGATTTGGTGAACGATTTGCTACCTGATGCTGTAGTCAGAAGTACAGTTTTACACTAAAATCAGTTTCTGTTCTTTTTGAAAGAGAAAAAGTACAGTTTAATCCACAATGTGAAAGTAGTAAAAGTACCTGTAGTTACTGCAGTTTTATTAATGATTTTGCAGTTTTAAGTTCTCAAGTTTAAGATATTTAAATCCTGCTTATTTGTTCCACGCCAGAAAAATGTGGATTCACAGTTTCTTTGTGAACTTATCAGGTTTCAATGAATCAAAACAGGCACTAATATAGGCTTAAGGCAGTCAATTCAAAAGTTAAACATATTTCATACTATAAAATTTGTTTCAAAGTAACTAACCATTTAGTGACCTTGTTCTCATGATCTTGTCGTCTGAGATTTTCTTTCAAGTCATCCCAAGTAAACCAATTTGTGGGGTTTTTGGTATTACTGCTCATGCAAACCCTAATAAGGCTTCTAAGCATCACAATGAAGGTTGATTCATTTACCATTAGCTGTCAATTCTTTTGACGAACTTAAATTTTGTGTAAATTGAAGAAAGGTAATTTGCATCCCTTAAACATTTAAAAAAAAATCAAAGCCATATCATCGGGATATTTGAAATGAAGCAAGCGATGTATGAAAAGTTAACAAAAAAGTCTTTGTATGGAGCTGTAATGACACCATATGCTGGTATTACAGTTTTCCTTTTGATCTATCTCTACACCTTCTCGCAACTAGCTAATGAACTGTTAACATCGACCACCAGCTTTGTGAAGATAGATTCTGTCAGCTAGCAGGTGCCAAAGGATTAAGTTAACTACCTTACCTTACAGCTTTATAGCTGTAAGCTTCAGTGAGGACATTGAAGAACTAATTATTGTGATCTACACTGTCTTTTCTGTTGCACAACATCTACTGTCCCTTCTTGATGATTGATATAATATACATACATATGTATATATGGTCTTCATTTATAGCACCTAATGATGAAAAAACTTGGCTTTGCTGAAATAAGCAGGCAATTTTACCCCCGTTCCTTTAGAAATTTTGGGGTTCAGGAAGTACATTGTGCATTGTCCCCTGTTCTGCCTGGTATGCTAATGTTGGTGATGAATAACTAGAACTTCAAATGTGTAGAATTCATTTCATTAAGAACTATGCCTGGTCCTTAAAAACTTGTGCTCAGATGACGAACCTGCATGATGCCATTTGTTCAGGAAGAAGTCTTGTTGGTGTGGCAGATGTAGAAGCAGCAGTAAAGGAAATGTTCCAGGCTCCTCATATTCAAGTAAGTATACAACTGTGAAGTATCACGTGAACACTACTCCATTACAGTTTTTAGAGGAATACATCAGTGATGTCAAGGAAATGCTGTGCCGCTGTCTTGAGGGTGGATCCAAGTATTTGATGGTACTAGTTCCCTGACAGGGCTTGAGTAATCAAGTTATGGATACTAATGAAGTCTGTTTTGATTGAAATGCAACTTGATACAGCTGGCTTATTATTAGATGTGGTCATAAAAGGCCAAAATTTTCTTCCTTTTTTTTTTGAGGCTGGGAAGGGAGTTCTGCCTTTGTATTCTTTAGATCATTAAGTGGTCCATATTTCTTTGATGTTCACTTATTAATTGCAGTTTTCTTTTTATAGCTAGTCTATACATTACTTACTGGAGAACCACCATATACACTGCTCATACAGGCATTATTTATGTATTGACTTCGTTCGCAGGTAATGAAAAGTTGTTCCAAACTGAGCAAAATATTCTTGGCAGCAATGGTGCATGAACTGTACAAAACTGGATGGGTGAAACCAGCTTTGAAAAGGTTATATGGACCCTTTCATTCTTTGATTTTTATTCTTCTTAGAATGATGGTCATGAATACAGCAGTACTAGTATTGTTGTTGTTAGAGTTAATGTTGTTATTACTATCATTTTTGTAGTCTTACTCCTTGCTGCTGTGCTACCATCTGAATGCCTGAGTTATGCATCTTCACATGGTTCCAAGCTGCCAATTGCTTCCTTGGCACATACAGCGCTATCATATTTTGTTTGTCTTATCTATTACTTTTTCTATTACCACAAGATAGTAGATACAACTTGCTGTTTCTTTGTGATTTTTTTTGATTCCGCCAAACTGTCCTTGGGATTTCTTTTTCCTTCTTTGTTTTTGGATGTGGCACCAGGAGTTGGGGAAAGGGGATGGGGGATTTAGCTTTTTCGGGCTGTTAGGGTAGCTTGACTATATTGTTTGGTATGAAATCTGATATTCTGCATCCAGCCTCCAGCTGCTGCTGAGAGGTTGTTGAATGTTAGTTGATGCCACAGCAGCAGCTGGAAAGTAAAAGATTACATTCAGTGTCATTCAAAAATTGAATCTTCCCATTTTTATCAGGTTTTACTGTTTCTGTTTTGTGTTGACTTTTCTTTTAAGTTTTTAAAGATTTTTTTTAAATTATATTCTGTGGGAGAGGCTATAATATTATATTGCTCTTCAGCATAATGTCCGTAAATGCTTGCTGTATATGCAGTTGGCAATGACAGTTTCATGCCTGTGTACAAGCAACGGTGAAGCATTTCCAGGATTTGACACACTCTTTAGAGTTGGGTAAGATGCGTAAATAGTTGTATTTCCTTCAATCATATGAACCAAAGTATATCGTCAGCCATATTCTTGTAGACCTTTTATTGAAATGACTTCATTTATGTGCTCAAAGACACGAAATAAGTGTGACATTTGTGTCTTTGCCATGTATGCACTTACTAATTAGCAAAGAAGATTTAGACCGAATTTGAAGTTCTAATGTGCCCCAGAGTTAAAGTTGAGGAATTTTCTTTGCACTCCTTGTGTTTGATATTGGATCTAAAAAGGATTTCTTTGTTTTTGTTCCTTTCTTCTGTAGTTGAAAAATCAAAGACCTTTTTTCCGTGTTACCTTGATCATTCAGAGGCTTATTGTTATTGATAACATAAGAGTGTCTCTGTACATTGCTGGAATTTGCATCTTCGTTTCATTTTAGTGAGCATCGAATTCTCCATTAGAAAATTATAGATGGTGAAAAAACTTGAGCTGACATGTAGTGAGGTAATCTATGTGTGTTGAGTCCATGTCAGATGAATTTAAATCCTATTTACCTCTAGTGTTTCTAATATTGTGGCAGATGTAAGCTTGGGAATGTCGAATTATATTATGTGAAGCGGGAGTCAGACACAAATTGCAAAAATTGCAACTCAATTTCCCAAGGTCAGTCATCACCAAGCCCTTTGTTTTAACTGAATAATCATTATTCCTCTGAGCTTACTTTCCCAACTTTAACAAGTTTCAATTAACTGCTGTCTGATACTGTGCTTGTGGCATCCAGAGGTCTTGAAAAAAAGTGTAATCCAGTTTTACTAATTAGGGTGTCTAAGAGCCAAAGGCAGAAAACTTTGTCAGCTTGGTCAATACTTGTGATTTTAGTTGAAGACGTATGTTCAATGCCACATCATTGCAAATCAAAATACCGGCCATCAAATGGATAAATGGATTGACTGGTGCTGACATAGGATTTCATTTTGTTACCATTCAGTTAGATGACTCTCCTGCATAGCATCTCTTGAAGCTGGCAATTGTAGAAAAGAAATAAAAATAAAAACCGAATTTAGGTGTGTGGGAGACTACATGACAGGTCGACAGTTAGTTGTCTATGCCTCTGATTTGATATTAGTTTGTGTAACAAAAATTTAAGATGACAAATATAATTGGCCTCATTCAGGATGGAACTAGTATAATGGTCCAAAGTTTGTGCCTGCAACATTTCAATTTTTCATATACAATGAATATATGTGCCTGCAGCATTCCACTTTTTTGCATCTGAATATTATGTACATTGAAACTAGATTACAGTCCTGATGTTTCTGTTGAATTTTGCAGTGATGATGTGACTTTTGCCCTCAAAGACAGCAAAGACCTACCATGGTTGGCTAAATACCTGTAATCACAAATAGTGAGATGCTAATGCATTCTTTCCCGCTTGTGTACTACAGATTTATTCTTTTTACGTTTTCTAAAACCCTCTCAATTTTGCAAATTCATTTTTATTTTGGGATCTAAATCCCTGTTATGATTGTAGAAGTGGGATTATAATTATCGGCCTTCCACATGGCAAGGCACTTATCAGATGTGCACTTCTTAGTTTTGATAGGCATTTATATATGCTTTTTCCTGCAAATGACTAAACTTTTTATATCGAATTGATGAGTATTTAGTTGCAATGAATTTTAGCGTCAGTGCATGGGTGTTTCTTGAAATATTTTAACGGAACTTTATCATAGATGTTTCTGAAAAAATCTACGGGTGGGAACCGTTGCTACAGGGATAGGGTGGCAAGGATGGAAATGTGAGGTGTTTTCTGGTGTTTGGATTGGGTACTTATTGTTTATCTAGATCTGTTTTATAGAAACTAGTGTTTATGTAGCACCTTGCCTGCATTAGCACCTTTGATGTCTTCGCTATATCCATGATACACGGTTTATCTTTAAAGAAAGGGAAATAAGACTCCCATGTCTGTAGTCTTTCAGGTGACAAGGCTTCTGGACCATCTAAGTAATGCCAAGAAGCTTTTCTGTATTTTTGCCATCACAGCACTTGTGCTGCATGGAGTCCAAGTTCTACTTGAGCTAACAATTTCCTGTGTCATCTGTATCCATTATGATATTAGGCACAATGCAAATTTCAGATCCTTTTATTCTCAATAATCTTTAGCACGTCCAAGGAGAGGTTTTGAATTTGAACCTTTAGAACTTTAGTGTTAGTATGTGTTTTTGCACTCAAAATGTCAATGCAAGTTTGTTTCTAATCTTTTCCAAAGTGAAACCATACTTGTCTCGCTGTTAGGAAATTCTGTTATGACACTGGGGATACCCAAGTAATTATCAAAGGTCATTTGTCGATTCCTAGACCAGAAGAGAAGATTAGGCTCTGAGTCTGAGCATGTGGGTACGTGTTCTTGGAGAAGAACATCTTTCATTTCTCTAGGTTGATAGATAGGCCAAACCTTAGGTAAAAATTGTCTAGAACACTTTTTGCTGTATTTATAGAACGTTCTCCACAACTAAAGAACAAAATTAGGTCATCTGCAATCATGCAGTGTGAGATGACAGGCCCAATCTTTAAAGGCTCCCATTTTTCTGGCTCGCTGCTTCTGTCATACATATGGAAATATACATATGGAGAAATGGACCCCCTTGTCTGATTACCCTAAAAAGAATTATCCATTTAGAGGGACAGGTTCACGGATTATTAAGAAGTCAAAAGGGATTAAATCGTATTTTTATATTTTAAGAGAAGGGGAAGTCAAAAGGGATTAAATCGTATTTTTATATTTTAAGAGAAGGGGATAGGTTCAACGAGATGACTAACATGTCAAAGGAATCTAAATACTTCTTGAACCAAATATGTGCACTAAAGGACCCGGTGAATTTGAAAGGTTAAGAATTTCTAGTGTTTGATATTTGACAAGAAGATTTGATCTCCCAACCAACATCCCAATAGGAACTTAAAGACCCTCTTGATGGACACTAGACCAATGGTTCAAGTTAAGGCCTCATGAAACTCCATTCAAATTTGTCATAAGCATTTTCCAGGTTTATTTTTAAAGCACAATTTCCTATTTTTCTCTCTCTTTGCTAGGAATCTTTTTCAACACTTAACGCAGCAGGAAACACATTAAACAAAAATGTAGAACTCATTTTACTCGTGATCATGAGAGTTTTTTTCTATTCAATTTGTTGGTACCGTTAGAAGATTATTGCTAAGTATCTTGAGACTCAATGAGAGCAGAGATAAGCGAGCTTGGACATCATTTATAGGAGAGCTGACAATTATACAAGAATCCTGGTCTCCCAGATTTTACACAGATGTTTAGTAGAACAACTCCAAACTGTTATCGTTTGAAAAAAAAAAAAAAAAAAAAAAGAACAGCTCCAAACTTGAAAGTGAAAGCAGGCACTAATGAGGTTGACCAAACCAGTGTAACTCAAGAGCCTACATTTATCTTTCCCTTCTCATTTAGTTTGTTGATGTTAATAAACTTAAATTGTTCATTTTGTGAAGCATTTATTTGTGAATTACTTAAAAGATTTAATAATATGTTTGCACCATAACTAACAAAACTAGAGATGTAAACGAATCTAATTAAACTGAACACCCTAATGTTCAATCTTATTTGATTATTTTATGAGCTTGAATTTTTGTTCAAATTTATTGTCAAACAGAATTTGAACAAGTTTCTTTATTGAATTTGAATGTTATCGAATAAAAGATGTTATTCAAATTTAGTTTGACTAGTCAATAACCAATCTCATACGAAACTCTTATCAAACCGAACTTGATTTAAGTCTCGAGTAATTTGATTCATTTTTCAGCTCTAAACAAAACCAACACTCTATACATCAAACTATTATCTTCACAGCAGAGATGTACTCCTTTGTCTTCTTAATACAACGTTAAGATTATCTTTTCTATTTTTACTATTTTTTTTCATTTCTTAGTTACGACCTTTTTTCCAATTAGCTTTGCACTTTTCGTCAACAAACTATTGACTTAAATTTCTTGCGCTGTTTGAGCATAAGCTTTTATCTGTTCCAGATTTTGTAAGAATGGTAGAATTAATTTTAGAATAGTTACATGTAACCATAATGATTATTATAATAAAAATGTCAAGATTAAAAGTCTACATACACTTTTCGCGTGCGTGTTTACACACACTTGCTAAAACCTACAATAGTGGGTATACTTAGTAGTAATAAAAAGATAATACATGCATCTGGTATACAAATCTGAGTCGTTACTTTTTTAACTTGTCAAACTCCATCGACTTTTGAAGTCGAATTTGAATTCTGTTTCTAAGCATTTAATCAACAATTTGCTAGAAGGTTAACCGTGTAAACATGTAACGAGGAAGATGTTGGAAGCCACTCATACTACAGCAGGAGAAAACTGCATCATACAAGATGTTAAAGCAATTACCTTTTACGAACTGTAGCATTTATCTTCATGAAGTACAATTTAATCCTACTACGAAACACAAAACTGCAAATTTATGCATTTGACAGCTGCAGATTCAGAGCAGGTTGCTGCGTAAAAGAGGAGGTCCTCTGCCACAATGGCCGGCCCAGAATGGCACTTCCATGGACAGCAAGGTAGGCGGCATTCAACCTGTTTCAAAAATTGAACATTCTCAGCTAAAAGAACCACAGAGCACATGGACATCAAAGGAACAAAGACTACTACAACATTGTTGCAAGGAAGTTGCAAAAGAGGGATTTACTTGTCAACGCCACGCGTAGCCAAAGGATCATATAGTTCCTCTCTTTGTTCTAAAGCAGGAGCAGCAGCTGATATTGCTGCAGGATCTTGAGAACCTTCACCCTGTAAAGAATACAACATAAACCACTTTTTCAGAAGAAAAATCAACAAGATGTGCAACCAAATATATTCTAAAAACAAGATTAACAAGAAAAAATTCCCAGAAGGAATGATAGGTATCTCAAGATTATGGAAATCCAGAAATCTTGGTGGTGGTCACATACTGAAGGTTTTGAGAGAGGCAAAGTGTGAAAAGATGGCACATTGGCCAATGAAGTAAATCTTTCTATTATCCTCGTAATCGTCGCCTATGCTCCAGTCACCAACAAAAGTTCATAGGAAAAGAAGGGAACAAACACAACAGAAGTTGCTCATGTGCAATCCGAGTCAGCATCTTTCAACTCTCCCAATCAAAGCAGTCCATCACTGCTTAAGATGGAAGAACATTGATTGAAGCTCTATTCCAATCAACGTTACCTCACCAGGTGGAGCAAGGAAGTTATAACAGCAGATTTGCGGGTTGAGTTAAAATTTTTGATGGAACTCAATCTAACTAAATTCAAGGCAAATCTATTTTAAGCTTGGCTTCCCCAAGGTAGTTCACGAACTCCCAAGCCCCAACTGCCTAACCTCTGTTGATCTTAATCAACAAAACATCGATTATGTTGTGCAGTAAATATTTGTTTCTTCATATCTAAAACATTTGAGCTGTTCATGAACTTTGGTAACATGCTAGTACACTTACCAACAACACTATCAAGATGCAAATTTTATCCTAAATACTACTGAAGCTAAATTAATCTTCAATATCACACTTGGCAGCCAGTATCCAAAACTTATCCAGACTGTAGATAGTTTTACCTGGATAAGTCTCAATTTGCAACTCCAAGAAGACCTGACTCCCATCTCAAAGTCAAGTTTATAGATTTTCAGATATGTCATGCTTGAGAACTTGCCAATCAGATTAATCCACATACATAAATAGCTTAATTAGGCTTTGAGTAAATGTGAACATGTGTTTAAACAACTCACTATCACCCCTTCATTAGATCTTGATCTTGGATTGCCATTTAATTTTACAGATAGTGCCTGACTTCAATCATGATATCTGTAATACGACCACATACTTGATAATTCTTAAGTCACATACCTGAAAATATAATGTATTTGGCATCGAATTCTACACTTTTTAGGTAATTTCTTAACTTTTCACCAGTCTCTTGTTTTGAAAGAATTACCTTAACAAGGGAGCATAAGAAATGAATCTACAAACAATAGATTTCTATGTGAAGGATAAACGGCTGAAATCAAGGCACAACCACAACTCTTCATGAAACAAAGTCATCCTAAAAAGACTCAACATATTTGCAGGCCAACTAAACTCGTATTCTTCTAAGTACTCAAACAGGCATGTCAGATTCTATAACCAAATCTTCTCGAGTACACAACTTCTGATCATGACACAATGTAGTTCAGTAAGCATACTTTTTGAAAATATAATGTATTTGGCCACGAAGTCTACACTTCTTAGGCAATTTCTTAACTTTTAATCAGTCTCTTGCTTTGAAAGAATTACCTTAACAGGAAGCATAAGCAAATGAATCTACAGATAATAGATTTCTGTGTGAAGGGAAAATGCAAATCAAGGTACAACCACAATTCTTCTTGAAACAAAGTCATCCTAGTAAGATTCAACATATTTGCGGCAACTAAACTCGTATTTTTCTAAGTACTCAAACAGGCATGTCTGATTCTATAACCAAATCTTCTCTAGTACACAACTTTTGATTATGACACAATGTAGTTCAGTAAGCATAGTTTTTGGCCTACATCACTAGTGCTCTCACTGTCATTAATTTCTTTGATAAAATTAGACAAAAGGGATTTCTTAAAGTTTAGTCTTGATGATT